TATCCTGGATGTGAATCAAAATTCTTCGCTTGTCACACGGGTGTCCCAACTAATTATGCTTTTTCGGTAAAGCAAGATAGAAGACCAGTAGGCTCGAGTGGGGATACCACCACGACAGCTGACTATTTACAATTTAGAAATATAAAAAATGTCCTTCTAGTACCTTGACAATTAAAAGTAGATAATCCATACGAAATCGACTCTAAAAATGTCCATTCGGATTTCGGCAAATATAAGAATATTTTAATCTACGAGGGTACTCGCAATTGTTGAAAAACAGTAATTCCTTGGAAACAGAAATACGGGGGAACTTCTACATGTTCTCAGGCGGGAATTATTTGATATATACATTTTTAAGATGAATTAAAAATAAAATTTAGTGACTTCGTCAAAAATTTTCTTTTTAAATTTATCTACGTATTATTATTGGTTAACAAAAATTGTATAACTTCACAATTCGTAATTAGGCCGAATAACCCATAGTTTTCCTTTAAAACAGTTTTTTTTTTTCGGAAACTGGTAATTTTGGATATATACTATTCTTTCACTCACCGATTCAATTGCATTTTAGATTATTTGAACTTTCGAACAATTTATTTTTCGACATTTTTTAATTTCGACAAATTAAATTTTTTGTTATCTGAACTCTCGATGTTTTTGTACTTTCGACAATTTTAATTTTGATTCAATCACATATTCCTTCGACTTTTTGACTTTCGATCATTTTTCTGCGCACTCCCGCCTTATACCGACTGTTTAAATATAGATAAGTTCTGTCTTATTTGTATTCCAATAGTCTATAGTTCCTTTTGGAGACATCCTGTATATTTTTATTTGCTACTATTCCGTCGTCCTTACATGTTTTATTAAAAAGTCCCTATCAAACATTTTAAATGGCTTTATAATAACCATCCCAAGGAGATAATAATCACTCCGGCGTTTTCCAGTCCGTTTATTCTCAAGCAAAACTTTTTAAGAATCGGTTTTGCAACTTGTTCAATTTAGCTTTCGCCTTGTGTGAAACTCTAAGTAGCTTATCGTAAAGGACACAATACGAGAGGAGAATTATTTAACGCAATGCGGAAAACTAGTATAAGCTTTTCAGGAAATGAGCACTTTAAGGCTTAAAGTGTTAGTGTAGTATTTCAGACCTAACCAGGTGTATTTTGGGAAGTACGCTGTTGACTTTCTTACGAAAAACAAATACCAGTTATAGTAAATTTAGAGTAAACACCAACTTTAAGCTGAAGCAAGCTGCATTTTGTCATTTCCATAATAATAGAAATCAAAAAACGATCAGCGAAGTCGAACTTAAAAATGACGTATAGTCAAGACTTATATCGTTTAAAATAATTTACTAACGACCAACAATATTCGTAAACCAATTAACAACTAAAGTTGTGAATGAGTTTTGTTGAAAGTAATGTATTATAACAATATAAATCGTAATTAAAATATTAATTAATATTCATTTATCGAAGACGTTATAGGCCGGGACAATATAATGTCATCACCATTTCTAGTATAACAAGCAAATAAAATCATCACTATGTGAAAACTCAAAATCAAGAAAATATTTACAAGGTGTCTCCTGGCCGATATAGGAACAGAATAGTATATTGTTTCACGAGTGACGAAAATAACATTTTTTGAAGCGAGAGAACAATTTACCAACCGAGGCGAAGCCGAGGTTGGTAATGTTCGCGAATAAAGAATCTTGAATTAATTTGATCTATGTTTGCGGGACGTAGGCTCATATATTTTTTGGAATCATCATAAAAGGGTCCAGAAATATGAAAAGAACGCGGAACTTTTGTTTTTTGTATTACGGATTTTAACTAACAGAATACTTCCAGTATCCTTTACATCGCTTATTGTTAAATCTTTTAGTTCGTGGCAACGACAAGCGCCAGATAATCCAAAAACTAATGCTACCTACAAATATTAGTAATTATGTATTAAGTATTTGTTAAAATAGAAATAATAATTCCGTTACCTTTGTTATTAAATATTTATAGTCAGGTGCATTCTTTAGGAAAGTATTTATGTCTTTAGGCGAAAAAATTTTGGATTTTTGGCTTTTAAAACCATCAGATTTTCTTTTCAAAAGCGAACGTAACTTTGGATATTTACTAATATCGACATCATTTTTAACAGAGAGTGTAGTTCTTAGCATCGAATAAATGGACCATAACGTCGACGGTTTAAAATTTGAACATATTTCTCCAAAGTATGCTAGTAGTACAGTTTCGGAAAATGATTTCACTTTATTTTTTTCTCTCCAGTCCAAAAATTTTATATAAATTTCTTCATATCTCTTTTTGATTTGGCCGGTAATAAATCTGAAGAGGTTTCTTCAGCTTTAAAAATAATTTCTGGGGGAGTACAATCGCTTTCTGACTCAGACATCATGAAAATGTGTTAAATTTAGGACGAACTGAAACTGACAGTTATCAAAAGTGATAAAACTTCAAATAAACAAATGAAAACCAGATGTAGATTGGTTTAATTTGCACTATTTTTATACATTTTTATTTTATCTTTAATTCATTAAAGTTTAGATAAAAACGCATATAGAATTTAATGAGCATCTTTTTATTTCATTATTAATAATTATAAGCTGCCAAAATATTATACGAGGCGACTGATATATGAAAATATGTAACAAGTTACTTTCGTCACTAGAGACGAAAGTAAACGTTATGGGATTTTTTCTCACTAGTGAGGGAAATCAAGTTTTCGCTGAAAGTATCCTGTGGCGAAAGATGTCTTTTTGTAAGAGTTCGTAGAAAAAATAATTTTCTAATACATATTACTCCTGCTAATATTTTTACGAAAAAATAAGCTTGGAATCTAAAGAAATATGCTCTCATCTGCCCAATAGTAACCTAAATCCATCCCAGTCCCTATTTTTTTTTTAATTTCATGTCATCGGTATCAACTACTAAGGTTGTTAGCCACGTGTTATGTGTAGGCTTTGTTACTGTTCTATAGCGCCCCTGTAGTAACAGCACTGTTAATTAGAACCCAACAATGAATGGTTGAGTGGAGAATCCTACCTAAGCATTATAATTAATATTTAATTTAATAAATTAAATAAAAATCGTTGTTACCGATCTAAGACCCCTCGATCTCAAAGTGATGAAGATGAATCTATCCACTGAGCCAACCCATCCCCATCCAGTCCTTATTACTGGATATGTTTTATAATTAACCCTGTAGTCAAAATATTTAATTTATAAACTTATATAGTAATATTTATTCTTTTGTTTCAGATAATTTGACAAAAGACAAGTTCAAAATTCTAAAAAGACACTGGGAGACACATGTGCTCGGCTGGTGAGCCGCCCCGAGGTGAGGGGCCATGCCATGCGAGCTAGTCTGCCCCCAGTTACGAAAGCTACTAAAGAATCAACGTCCCCACATTCATGTGCACCAATTATTCCACACTGACGGTTAGTATATTTTTTATATAGAATTTTGATTTAATATACAGAATATTTATAAATTTTTGCCAACACAATTTTCAGTGATTTATTACAATTAGTTTATTTTGTTACGATTTCATTTCGCCTAACATTTTTGGTAACTGATTTTGGCAATTGACTTTGTTTTTGGACACAATCTGTGTATTTAGGTAGTATCTTTCGGTATCCTACTATGTTGAAATATTAATGTAGTACATACCTACCTTGTAATTGTGAATGTTTTATGTCATTTGAGAGTAGAGTTCTCTCCTGGAGTGTCTATGGTGTTTCTCTGGATTCAATCTTACGGCTGTCGATAAGTTTTCTTCGGGGCCTATCGTGGTGGCACACAAATTTTAGCTATTTTGTTTATTTTTATGTAAATGTTTGATTACTGCGGTAGTGGTCATAATGTCATTTGAAACAATAGTTCTGTCCTAGATTGTCTGGGGTAGTTCTTGCGTTTGCAGCTTACGGCTATCAGTTAAAATTCTTCGGGTTTCACTATTGTGACAGTTGTGGCTCGCTAATTGATTTTGATACTCGGAACTTACAAGTGTTTCACTTGTTATTTAATGTATTTGTTGATAGAATGGCTGTGAGGTTGGTGATGCATTTAAACTTCTCATTATTTGCCAATATTGTAACCCTTCAAACTCTGTCAGAGGAGTGAGTTGAATTTTATTTTTTTTGATAATGTATATGACCCAATTTCGACAGTATGATCTAATTACTTACTATTAGATAGTCGTGTGATTAATCCGCGAACGTTTCGTCTAAAACGACCCAAGGTTCTAGCTTAATTTAGACTAGTCTTCGTCAATAAGGGGAGCTAACGTGCGTATACCTTTTTTTAGAATTTATATTACTGAGGTTATCGATTACTTAAGTGCAATAGGTCGTATTCCCTTAACAGTAAATTTTACAGTAGGCACAAAATATTTCACAGTTACAATATTTAAGGCATGTTTGATATTTTATTAGGTCAATTACAACTAAAATATATTCAAAGTATTTTAAGTGTATTTTTAAATTATCGGCACTATTTGATTATTTTTGTGTAATACGTCCTATTACGTATTATTGTTTGGTGGGTTACGTCCTATTTATATCGTATTTATAGGGTTAGCTTAAAAATAGAGTCTCGGATGTGTGGCTTACGACAAATTGTATTATCACCAGATAAATGTGAAATTATATGTTTTTTTTTAAAGTATCAAAAATAATTATTTTAAACAACATAACATTTCTTTGAAAACACTGAAATTAAAGTAAATGTATTTCTTAAAACTAAAGAACATATATTTTCCTTGTATTAAAACAAAAATAAATTTATTGGCGGGGTTTACTCTATTTACTTTTTTTTTGTTTTCTTTTACAAAGCATCTCGTTAAGTACACTTTTTGAATTATCCGTTCTCTTCCTGACTGACGTTTTTTCGATTCTGGTTGCAGATTTTCGTTTTGAAGGTTTCTTCTTCTCACGTCTAGTTTCTTTATTGTTTACTATTTCTTATTTTTTTTTCCAAATCATCTAATTCTGTGTTTTGCTTAGCTCTCTCATTTCGTTTATTTTTATATTTTGTGTAGATTTTAGGTTTGTAGCTTTCTTCTTTGAACTAGTTTCTTCTAACTTAGCTATTTCTTGGTTGTTTTTCGATTCATCTGATTCTGTTTTTTGCTTAGTCTTCTTATTTCCTTGATTCTTATCTTCGGATTGATACGGTAAGCTTGAGTAAAAATCCTTCACTTCTTTAGATAATACTGAAGTCAGTTCTTGTAAACCCTTAAATTTTTTCTTTGTAATTTTAATTCGGTTGTCGTATAATCGGCAACAAAGCTGGTTACTTGAATCATTTGTGTTTGAACGACAAGGTAATTCAACGTTATATTCATCATCGTAACTCAATTTGTAGAATATTTTTCCATTCGGACAATACTTAAAAATTTGACCATCGGTTACTTTAGCGTAATTTACGTTTCGTGCAGGTCGTGATTGGTATGTATAAAGTTCTTTATTATCATATTTTATAAAAAAATCATGTGTGATATAATTGACATTCAGAGGAAAAGGCTTAAGCCTTGTTTCTTTTATTGCTGAGGAGTATTGACTAGGTGTATGAATTTTTCTGTTCTTTAGCTTTTGTTCGATAAGTGCATGAGTGGAGTCACACTTCATTTGAGTGTGACCCTTCTCCAAGTATTTCTAAAATATCGTTATACCGGATTGCACTGAAAAGGACAACAACGTATTTGACAATATTACATTCTTATTTTGATATCCACAGTTATCGGAGTAAATGTTCATTGATCTTGGCTCTTTCAGACAATGCTTTTCTAGATAGTCCATTATACAACTTGTGAACACTGATGAAACTAGCTCTCCTTCACTCTCATTCCAGCAGATTTATGTGTCTCAATAATATATATCGTAAAGTTATGGAACTGAAGCTTGCTCTTAAAGTATAATTTCTTAGCAAATAATTTGGGGCATAACTGAACCGCTTGTACGTCAGGGTATAACATTTTTTTCCTAATGCATCAGCCTTTTCTTTTTCTTTCTCTGTTCTGGCTCGATTTTTATCAAACACATGTTTCTTAAATGACTCTTGATCAACCTGGCCGACTTTATATGAACAAAAAACATCACATTGATCCTTTTTAGGTAGATGTTTGCTATGTTATTTTCTTCTAGTAGTTTAGTGAACGAAAATATTAACAAAGCAATTCATTACTTTTAGTGCATTCCTCCTTATAAACTTTAAAGACTTCTGTTTTATTAAGAAAACGTTCTTCAAGGTAAAGCTTAGTTGAATATTTTCGGCAATAATGGGATGGTAGTTTTGGAAAACGGTTATTGACCTCACTTGCAAATTGAATTCTATTAGCTTCATCGACTTGTTTTTTTGTTCTGGTCTTTTGGTGTTTTGCCAAAGGCATTCAATGCTGCACCGGATCAGTGAGCCAGTTTCTTATCATCCTTTCACCAATTCCAAGTGTAGACATAAACATCTGCTTGCAAAGTAGCAATTTGTTGGCATCAAGCTGCAAAATATAAACAATAGCCCCTGTTCGCCTTGACGCACTCTGGGTATAGGATATTTTTTCTCAATATACTGAGCCAAACTTCTTACATACATTTTCTTCTGTTCCAATGTCAAAGTCCAAAACCTGTTGAATATTTCCTGTCTGTCAATTTTCGAAATGTTTTACATTTATTATGTTTACCGCTACACCTACACATATCACCCAGCTTGCGGGCAGGTCTTCTAGTATTGTGTTTTAGGGGAAAGTGGGGGTAATACCACGCATCTAAGGGAAATTAATTCCCAATTTTTCATTTTTTATAATAAGCTGTGGGCATTTTGTAAAATATTTCTCAAAGATCTCTAGTATATGATGGTATATACGTTATTTGCGTAAAATACTGAAGAATTGGAAAATTTTCAAATTATGCAACATATGCATTTCACGGTATTGCCCCACCCAGTGGGACAATATTACGCAACCAGTGGGGCAATACCGTGAATGTTGTTTGAGGCTTCGGAGTAGGCTGATGAAAAAAAAAATGTTAAAATAATGACATTAACGTAGGAAAATACAAAATTCTCAACACAAGAACATTTCTAAGAACTTTGACAAACTTATTTGGAATTATTTAAATAATTATCGTTTTGCTTTCTTTTTTTGGGTTGCCTTCTATACATTCATCATATGTATATTCCTTAGCTGATTCCCAACCTGTACATTTGGAGTGAGCCCATCTTCCACATTTTAGGCAACGGTACTAGAGTTCTCTATTCTTTCCGAATTCGCCGCATATGATGCATAATTCGTTTGTCACAGATGGCCTCTCGTACAATGCGCATTCATTCATATCTGAATTGCCGTCTTCAGACAGATCTAATTCCACTGATGAATCAGAGTTATCCTCTAAGATTCCCTCTTCCTTTCAACACGCTTTCTTTTTATGTTAATTCTCTTCTGTTTTTCTTTCCCATGTTTATTTACTTTTTGCTTACATGTTTTATTTTGAGTATCATTTTTCTGGTCTCGTTTTGCTTGTTTTTGAACAAGTATATGCTTTATTGGTGTAGAAGTCGGAATTTCTAAATTTTGCTTCTTTTCGTGTATTTATTATTTGTTTTCATGGGAATAGGAGGAACATCTGATATTTTGGCAAACGAACATGATGGTACAGGTTCAGGAATTGCTGCTGTTGAGGGTGTCGGTTCTGGAATAGCGGATATTGATGGTGTCGGTATCGCAATAGCTAAGAATTCTATTGGTGTCTGAGGAGAAATCATCCTGAAGGACCTTTCCCCTTCATCTGATTCTACATCCACAGTAAATTCTCTAAATTCCTCAGCTGGTGCGAAGTCTTCTGCTGTAAACTTAGAGGTGTTGAAAGGAAATATTCCGGCAGCTCGGATTCCTGAAATTCCTTTATCCTTAGTTGCTACTTTTATATATGTTTGATTAAACAAACGAGCCACATTGTACACTGTAATCTTCTTGTGGCAGTTGAAATCATATGAGAATCATAAACAGCAGAGAGAGATTTTTTAAAAGGTCCGAAGAATGTTAAATCCAGAGTCTAAAGGTGATTTGACGTATGAGGGGGTATTGTAAGAAGTACGATATGGCTATTTCTGCAGAACTCATAAATTTCCAACGAAATGTGGCTTCCATGATTGTCTAAAATAAGTAAAATCGGGTCGGTCGCATTAGATTTCACATAGCTTTGGAAATGTATTAACCATATTAGAAATAACTCATTATTTGACCACCCATTGTCAGAGGAGCATGAATAAATGGATCCAATTGGGTCATCCTTTTCTAGTTGGGAAGACAAACGTTTTCTTGGATAAATAAACATTGGAGGGACGTAGGAACCAGCTGCACTCATAGCACATAAGATAGTGATAGTTCATTCACGTTCGGCTGAAATAGCAATTTCGACTTGCTTTTGTCCTTTTCTGACGTATATTTTTCCACACTTTTTCTGGACAGTTGTTATTCCAGACTCGTCAGCATTGAAGATCCTGTCTTCTGTAAATTAATGCTTTTGTAACAAAGTTTCAAGATTTAAAAAAAAAACCAACAGCATCGGCGTTGAACGATGAAATATGATTAAGACTTATTTTTGCTGGCTGACGAAGACTAATTTGAGGATTTCTTTTAAGAAAAAGCCTCAGCCAGTCTTTGCCAGCTAATTTTGTTTTTTTTGTTGAATTTATGGATTAGATAATTAGCTTCTGCAAAGTCAAAAGCCTTAAGTGCCACGGAGTTACTCCATAAAACAAATTCGCCAACCTCATAACGTGATCTGCTAGCTCTTGCTCTTGTTTTTTCGTAAAAACTGGTGTCCGTCCCAAGCCGTGCATCTTCATCAAGTTGAGCTGGAGCTTCACCGTCTGCGCCGGTACCTCTTTTTCTTAAATGATCACGAACTGTCGGTTCTAGTATATCGAAATTTCTTGCCGCCTCACGTATTTTTGAACCTGAGCGAACAGCAGTTATTGCATTATTAAGTTGTTTAAAAGACCAACTTTTTCGTTTAGATTTTCTTTCGTAATTTCTTATCATCTGAAATAAAAAGTGGAAATATTTTACCAATGAAATCAACGCAGAGTAAAACTTAGCAAATGTAGAGATGGCGCAATACCGCTTATCTTACCATTGAAATCAATGTGGGGTAATATCGTGCATATGTTGGATAATACCACACGCGGTATTGCCACATATCGACACTGGCCCTATTTTCTAATCTCACCTCGGTTGCTTACTGAAGAAAATTAAAAACGGTAGCAGGTAAAAATCAGTAAAATAACCAATAAAATATCTATATTAGCTGATTTTATATTTACCTAAGTAATATTTAAACTTACCTCGCTTATTTCCTGGTAGCTCAAAATTATAATAAAAGCAACGACACTCACGCTTTGATATACTGCGAAGTACTGGATGCTTCGATCGACTGTACAACATTTGTGGCATAGTTGCCACATGTATCAGGTAACGTACGAGTGGTCAAATTTATTTTGGATTGCTCAAACGTCTGTGTTTCTATGTGCGCGCTATTACCCCGCTGCGCGGTATTAGCCCACTTTCCCCTATATCTCCTGTCTTGCTTCTATTGTAGCCATTCTCAGTCTTTTATTTTTGTTTCTATTCCATTAATTTTGGTTTGCGGTCTTTTTTCTTTTATTATTGCCACCAGTTTTTTCTTTAGCTTCATTACCAAGCACAGTTTCATGGGCGTTGTCCACATTATCTGGCTTTAAACTTTCCATTATTAATTCATGATTTGGAGGAAGTTCTTTTTTAAGTTTGTTGGCGAAATAAATAGACTCTTCTGACTCTAAACTTTTCAATAAATCGTGATTTAGAAGATTTTCTTCTATAATTTCGTTATCGAAGTGAAGAGGCTCTACTGGTTCCAAATTTACCAAGTCGTCGCTTGGAGGAATTTCTTCTATATTAGTAAGTTTTACTGACTGAATCAGTAAAGGGTTTTTATTAGGAAGGACGCTTTTTTCAGAAACCAAATCTTGATTGTGACAAAATTCCTCGAAGCAATTAACTGTGTAAGGCTTTCATGTAGTAAAATTCCTTCACTAGAAATCACAAATTCGTATGAAGTAAACGGTTGAAGCTCTGACACAAGAACATCGACCGCATAATCAGATGAGCTATTAGTATTAGGCGCCGGAGCAGCTTTTAAAATACGGCCACTCCGAGTGGACATCCTGTAAAGAACAAAACCATCTAGTAAACAGGTGAAAATTAAAAAATATATATATTGAAACATAAAAAATTGGCAGTCCTAAACACGCCACACACAGGCACACACAGCTTTTAGTTATTTGTAAATGAGGGATACGACGTATTACCTGGTAGTGCAGTACGTCGTAACCCAGAAATTAAAAGTAAGGTTAGATTATGAATTCGCATGTTCCAAAAAACAAATCAATAAACATAGTCTAGAAAATTATAGTTTATGATATTTTTATGTCTGTGATAAAAATATACACTTACCTTCTATGTATATCTGTTAAAAATATTTAAATAACTATACTTTTGCAGCGTTTTTTGGTAGAGCACTCACAACAGATAAACAATTTTCTGATAAACAAAACTTTCACAATTACAAGGTATGTACTATAATAATATTTTAACTTACAGAAAGATACTGCCAAAATATACAGAGTGTGTCCAAAAACAAAGTAAATCGCCAAAAATTTTGGGGCGAAATCCCATCGTAAAACTTTCATGTTCAGAATTTGGGTAATTTTTTTAACATTCCACAGGTATCTTGAAAACTAACTGACAACAATAAAATAATAA